CTTTATCTGGGCTTGGGACCGGCTAGAATACTAGTGACCTAGTAATCTAGGCGAGGTTAATATAATATGTTATGAATATTCCTAATATAATATGATAGGAACAAAATATGGATGGATGAGTGAAATCTTGTCAGAGGAGGAGATTACATAAAATATTAAAATATGAAAGCGTAAAGTGAAATGAAATAAAATAAATTACAACAAATTGGAACACGGAATCAAGAAGGATAACAAAGATTTCCTCTGTGAATCAAATAGTAAAATGAAGACCATGGTAACGAAAGAGATCGTACAAATTGCTTTCATACACAAACTTCTGGCTGTATGTTATGCATTGCTAAAGACTCTGCCGTTCACAGCGAATGCACTCGTGCGCTCCCTTTCGGCCAACATTGTCGAAGTTTGTTGACTATATGAACGATGTATCAGATGCTGCGTGGTACTCGGTATCCACAATATGTTGCAATATCGATGAATGAACACCTCTACGTTCTCCTTTGCTCAGACAAACTGTGTGATGCTCTCAAGCGTGGCGGTGTGATATGATTTTCGACGAACGTCCTATGTATCTGACTCCGCAAGAGCAGGTGAACATAAAAATAAACATCGAATGAGACAAGCAAGGTGACATTTCCTTGGCATTAGGATACACCGCTGGACGGTTAGAGTAGGCTATTCGTAAAGTGCCAGCCAAGAACATTTTCATCAATGATCTCGTCAGACGAGTTTTAGGTGTCTTACTGACAGTGTCACCCTGAAATGTAAGTTTAGATGCAACACTTGTTTAGCTACCTTGTCAATCTCTGTATTTCATTCACGTGATTCGCTATTGTCACCTGCGAAGCGAAGTGGATATCCGTTCTCTAAGAAGGTTTGCTTCAGTTGTTTGAGTTGGTCACCTACACAATCTTCACTATAAAGTATGCATAACCATGCTTAGAGGGAAAGCGATGAGACTCCGCTGTATGTCTATTGGCACAAAACTGTAAAAATCGGTCTCCGTCGAGATTCTGTATTATATACTATGATAATCATTTTATTCTCAGAAATCAATTTTCATTCAGAATGGAATTTTCAGCGTTGTGCACATGGAAGCAATTTATCTCCTTTGCCAAATAAACAAATAAAACGATGCAATTGCAAAACCTGGAATGTTTGTAGAAGAATAATTAATATATATGTGAGAATTACAATATAAATTATTAATTCTTATTATTCTTTAATTTTCTGTTAATTTGCAGATTGGAAAGTAGGCTTAATAAGCTCTTTCTCATATTTATTTATTTGTGTGTTCACACAAAACGTGGGCTAACTACAGTGTGGTTGAGTTTCGGTATTCCGCTAAATGCTTCCGCATAAACTGCTTAGAAGTTGAAGAGAAAGGCGATTTCCAGCATCATGCAAAGTGACTTTAGCAAACTGTTTGGTAGATTTGAAATGCCTGTCATCAACAACAATGTGAGTTAGTTGAGCGGTGGGCAAACCTACCACTAAACCTGCATACAGCCTTCAAACTTCTACATAATATAACATAGCCTTTTGTCAGCAAGCCCAGGGAGGAAGAAGGGGGAACAGCAAAGAAGTGTGGGTGGAGTTTTTGAAGTAATAAATTGTAGGAGAAGAGGTTGAGTGATGCCAGAATGTCTCAACTTCAAAATGTATTAAGTCAAACGAAAGATTTTTTCAGAAGTCAACACAATATGAGATAACAGATGGATTACAGAAATACTAATACGAAGAAAGGTGAAATTTGATTAATTTCTTCTTGTCGCAGTACCGTAGGTATTCCAAGAATCATAGGATTGAATCGGTCTGTACAAGTGTCTGTTTACTTCTGAAACTGAAAATATGAGTCTATTTGCATTAAGTGATTTCAGCCTGTGCTTTGTAGATCTTACCAACACGAAACTTAGGCAAACAACAGTCAAATATTCTAGAATTGCTTCACGCAACGAATAAGAAAACTAAATGAGGTGAGGAAAGAGTGAAATTTAGGAACATGAATGCATATTTTATGTATTAGTTTTGAACGAGGCCTATATAGATTGCTGCAGAAGGTAAAAACTCAAAATAGAGAAAAATGATAGACTTTCGCATTTTATCTTTGTATCATATCAGAATGTGATAGTGTGATGATGGCAGGGTACATTCTTACCTGGACTTCTTTATTATTATCCTCTTCTTCACTGTGAGCTATTCAACTGATTTTCGATCTTCGCTTCATTTCTTCGTTCACACAGTTATCTTATTATTTCAATTGGGATATTATCATCCAAATGACGATTTCGTGAAAACTCCAACTATACTCATCACGTTGATATTCATTAATCGGAGAGATTCACTTCAAGACAATTTTAACGAATCAGACCATTGATTAACCTCAGATAGGAAACCATTCCTCTCAGGATAATCTAATGCGGAAGTGACTGGGACAGAAATTCTCACATCATCAGCATGCCCAATGAAATTGTCGTCTTTCGATGAAGGATACGGTATTTCATAGGAAAAAGAGAAACCAACAAAGGAAGCAGAAATGGAGAAAGCACAGCACTGTGAAGCACACTAGTTTCAGTGAGCAAAGAAGTTGAGTGCTCCTCATTAAAATCAATGTGCAATTGTCTACAAGAGGAATAGGAAGTCAGTCAGCTTCCATTTGAATTCAGGCCTTATTAGAATGAAGTGAACACAGCTAGTGAGTATTTTCTTATCTTGCTAATGAATAGAAATTTCTTCCTTATTTGTCTTCAGGTGCTAACTTATCTTTGATATTTACCTGCATTCAAACTAGTCACTAGGGGAAGGCAATTTTTAGTATACAATGAAGCAAGTGAAGTAGCTATTAGTTCAAGTCAGATAAGATTTGACGTTGATTGAGTGAACTGAAATGTTCGGCCTCTTTTGACTGCTGCGCAACTATTACGTACCATTTCACGATGTCTGAGGACTAAAAAATGGGAATTTGTGTTTCATGACTTTATCGTGTCCTGTGTAGTGAACTGAAAGACTCATGAGTTATTCATGTTGCAACTCATATTGTTGCTGGAAAGTCTGATGTTTCGAGTCATCGTTCCATCATTTTGTGATTCCATTCCATCGCCACGAAAGCCTCCACTTCATGTGGTATATGAAGGAAACGGTTTCATGTCAGTGGACTGAACGGTAATAAAATAGATGTTTGTCTAAAATCTTTTGAACTGCTAAATGTTATTAAAAGTAGTAGACGGATATAGCTGATCGGTCTTATTCATGTGAGATGATGTCTGCCACTCGAGTGTGCAGTCTGATGCCTTATCTGCATATAATGCATTTGCGGGTGGCATGAGGTGGGATAAAGTACTCTGCTAATGTGCATCGCCTACACACCGATCCTTCGCTAAAGTCTCTCTTGTCTTCTACCTTGTACTACTGATCACTAGAAGGCAGTTTGAGCCTTCATTTGTTTACTGTGCTGTTATTCCGTAGATATAAGTGTTGTTTGTTTCAATTCCCTGTGGAGTTTGTTTATTCGAATTCCCTGTATTCTTTACCTGAACATTCACGTGCTGCTTAGTCTGGCTATGGATCAGCTAGAGACACCTCAAAATGTGAGGTTTGTATATCATATTCATTATTTTATGTATCATACTGTACTTTAGATAAATCTTTTGTTTTGGGATTGCACGCATAACTCAGATGTTCGATAAATTAATCGACCACAGTCACCGCTCTGGATTTCTTAGAAGCAATCTTCAATTATGTAGTAAAAAATTTCGTGAATATTTTGTAATGACGTTAAAGATACTGAGCATCTTGTGCGAGAATTTTACGTTCTTCGAATGGGTGTCCATTTCAACTGATGCATCGACGGGGTATCCATTGAGGGTCATCTTGTTACGAGGAGAGCTGGTATACTTTTCAGTCAATAGAGACTGTTCCAAATGGCAAGCCGATGAATTCCAGCTTCTGCCAATTCACGATGTATATTGCACAACCGCCAGCCAGTTTCATCAGCGAGTAGTTGATTTGTTGCCTGACATTTTGACCAGTAGTTGGTGAGCATCAGATAATTTTCCAGAGTCGTTTGAGCAGTGGGTATTTAGTTAGTTACAGATCCGATCACGAGGTGGCAATAATTCGAGAACCACTGAAGAGCCGTTTCTTGGGGTTTTGAGACTGTCCATCATTAGGCATCAACAGGAATTCCGACACAGGTCTTTCATGGGCCATCGAATCGGATTCCAGTCGCTCAAATATTCTACCAACTCGTGTTGAAACCGAGTGGTACCATGAAAATCTTGGAGTTATTCTCAGATGTATCATCTTTTCAGTTGAGTCATCCTGTATATTATTGTCATACTTTCCTCAACGCTTCTTCTTTGTGAATATGGTCACAATATGTTCACCTAGTTCCACTAGCTTCCTTTGACTGATCACTCCAATCTCACTCAAACTTCACAGTAATACAGACATTTATAATAATGATGATAATGAAACTATAATAGTTTTTGTGACCACAGACAACGTTCGATAAACATTTTCAAGAAAACCAAATGCTCACAACCTGCTGACTGATTGACGTCGTTCATACCGAAAAGCAGAGAATTACTCTAAACAATAGATTTTCTGTCTGTGAATGTGTGTCTTTGAAGCAGTCAATAATCTGGTACAGAGTCATACTTCGTGTTATCGATTTTACATCCACACACAAAGGATCCTTAAAGCGATAGAGGAAAGCGAAGAAGAAGAAGAAGAGGAGAGAGTACAGCTTAACTGACACACACAGTTTCAGTGTGATATAACATACACACACAGACACACAGACACAGACACAGACACACAAATAGAGCGTCGTTGTTTGTGTGTATTTTATAGGCCAATCATGGAATGTGTGTATGGATTTGTTTTGTTTCGGTAGACTGACTGGTTAACTCAGTGACTTTGTTAATGATCATCTTAAGTTATTGAGTGATTGGACGATGTAATATTTGCAGAGAATGAATACGTATATACTTGCAATTCTTAAACAATTCTTAAACAGTGTGTGGTGTATCAACCATGTTGACGTTTGGTTTTGACAGAATCATACTGCTAATATTCTTACAGAGTAAGTTCAAAATCATTTTTTATTATTTGAGTTCAGTGGTCACTAGCTAGCTGGTTATATTATTATTAATATTAATATTATTATTATCATTTTATACCTTAAGGTTCTGAGTCGAAGAAGGTGCTGAAACAAGACATCTCCACTTCTGTCCTGTTCACTGTAGTTTTCTTTAGCTTGCTGTACGAATGCCTGTTAACTTTAATCTCCTCCTCATACTATATTCTCCATGGTACTCCCAACTGTTTGTTTATCTTTCTAGTTCCACTCAACGGTTTGACGCATGGTGTCATTCAACAGCCTCCCCAGTGTGTATCCGATCAACCTGAGTTTCCTTAGTCATATTTGTTGAGCAATAGGCCCTTAGTTGGCTTGTCCCTGAAGTTCCTTGTTGCCAATTATTTCTGATCATCCATCAAACCTTCAGTATGCAGCCAGTGAAATGCTGTTGGAGACACATCATGCCTCTCACACACATAAAATGACTCATATGACATTGGTTTTGAAAATCCAAATTTTGCTTTCCCTATGCTGAGTGTACCGGATTCTCCAACTGATTTCAGAGTGATGATGAACCCTTGTCTTGTCTGTCCAATCCAGCTTGGCTTTGTTATACATCTTCATCCGTTCCATCTGTAGTTGAAGCGATTCTACTCAATTCAGTGTAGCGATTGCCCAATTTCAAAAACTTATTCCGTAGGTAGTTGTTGTTTTTGATGTTGGTTGGTTATCTTCATCACCTCCATATTCGCTAATTCCATTTAAAGTCTTGTCTTCTCTGCCTGACTCTTCTGCGAACTTGTTAATTTTCATCTACAGCTTCGAATTTTGCATAAATTTAGATATAAATCTGTCATTGAGTCCAAATCTCTTAGAGTTCCCTTATCGGTTCAACCTATACATGTCTTCTCACTTCTCAAGTCTGCCACAGTTGAGAATATCATCAGTGACAGTGGACAGACTCATGTCACTCCTATCTTCACTAAATTCACTTCACTGAGTGTTCCATTGTCAAATCTAGTTAGCTAGTTAGTTGGGAAGTCTATAAGACAGCGAGGAAATTGTATGGTTTCTCTTCATGAGACCAATCTGCACTGTTTGCTTTTCTCAACAAAACTGAACGAAAAGTGTGTCTGAGTCAAATGTCACTGACAACATAATATACAGTAACAAGGAAAAAAGACGTTCTGGACTGTAATTACCATTACAAATAGTCATCAGTATGACATGTTGTTCTTATAATCTTTTTCGTGTTATCAGACTCAAACTCAGATTGGCGATTGGCCAACTTTCTGAGAACTCACAAATTCGAGTGTAATAGGTTCGGGTGATCAGACAGATTGTTGGAGGGTGAAGTGCTGTCACAAAGTGAGCAAACAGGTGAGGTGTTTCATGAGTCAATCTAAAATGCATGTTCAGTGAAGGCTATCCATGTACACTACGAGGAGTAGAATGTACCACTCATCGTCAGCCGTTTAGCATTTGAAGCTTAGTTTGGTTCTCCATGAATGGAATGAAATGAGACTAAAAACTCATAGTTTCAAATAGGCGATTCCTGTTGAGCTATACTCATGTTTATTCTGTCTTATTATCTGTTGTCATCAAGTGCTCAATCACCTTCTTCTTCCATACAAATATTAGCTGTTAATGTGAAAGTAGAGTTGACGCGTTGTGAGTGAATGCAATTCAAAATCGGATAACTTGATTTTAATGATAACTGAATGACGGCGCCTCGAGGACAGATTACTGTTGCTTCCAATCAAATCTCAGTGTATTCACACAATTTGATAATCTGTTTATGTAGACTTACTTACTCCTACTTCTTACTACAATTTACCATTTGTCCGGAACAGGTGTTGAATCATTTCTACTGCACGTTGTTTTGGTGTTGAATCGATGAAGAAAGATTCAGTGAATAACGTGTCTGTGTGTCTCGCTTTCCCTACACTCACTAATATTATTTACTAACACATTTATCTTATCCTACCAACCAACCCCATTGTGTGTATAAGATGTGAGCGATTGTATTCCAGTGTAGAAGACAAGAGACTTGGTGAAGTCATGTTTATTAGGAATTTGTTATCGCTATGCAAAGGAATTATGTACACCTTATCTTCAAAGCACCACTTGCACAAGTCTTCCGTGTTGTGCTATTTCTGGCCTTCATATTATATTTCCTTGTGATCCTCTCACGTCATCCATTTATCTCCACAACGCTGAATCATTTTTTTCTCTGATGTCAAAGTTATCTCCTTGTTATTTGATATTTTATTGCCGATGGACGTCTCCTGATATGCTAGAGGTGAATCATATTGATAGCCCAAACTAAACCAGATTTATTCGGATTATTTTACTCAGTATGTTCAATCATTCTTACTGTAACCCTAAACTCATATTTTCTGATAATGTGACTAATTCCCAGCAACTAGTTAAACATGTGTAATTGAACTTAGTTGTCTTCACTTCATTATTTTGGAGATCCATTATTGACTCTGTAGTGTCTATGGGCTGACAGAGTTTGAGTCTGATTAATTGAGTCAGATGGTTGGATTCATGTAAAAACGCCGCCGTTATAACAGTATCCTGAAGAGTGCCATGTACGCACAAAAATTGTATCTGCCTAATTGTTTCTTTTAATCATTGCAGTAACAGTCTTGCCACAACGAATCTCTGAAGAATATGAACTGGCATATTTAGCTAAAAATAAAGATGACAGTAAGTTGATCGTGGTATCTGAATATTTTACTGTTTTGCTTTTACCAAACAATAATATTCGTTGAATGCTTTTATTGAAGTGATTTTTTTTAATTTCGCGCTTTGATATGCAACACCTAGTCCCTAAGATTCATGCAAGCGCAATTCAGATTCCACTGCTGACCATCATCCATAATCTAAGCGTCTCATTCTGTTTATCTCCGATAGTATAAAGTCAACACAATTGACTCGTGAGGATACTGAATTGCAGAATAATTCATTCAATGAAATGTTTTCTTTCCAGTATTGAGATAAATCTGTGATATCAAGTGAAAGAATATCATCTACTTGTGGTTTCATTTTGACCAAATTGACTTGCTAGCCTCACGTGTAACCTTCTCTATCTACGGGCCATACAGCTGTTTTAACGAGTGTTTGTAGTCCGTCAGATGCGGACGTGAACCCAGACCACTTGCGTGGATGGCGAGAATTCTTGAGATAAGCCACTGATACCCCTTTCCTGAAATGATATTATTTCTATAAAATTCAATTGTTTTGGTGTAGTTGTGATCCCAGAGCTGGATGGCTTACTTGTGAAGCTTATGTCGCCCTACTAGGCAACACCATCATTGCACACATCAGTTTGTGAAATGAGCATTTACAGTTCTCCACGAGTTTATTAGTTGTCTCTCCTGGTGACGTTGGTTGCCTTAGTGAATCTTCAAACCCTCATACTGATTCGGTCGGACTGTAAGGGTGAGACACTCGTTCAATCCTGCAGTTCATTTGTCCCACATTCGTGTTAGTACCGACTGTTCACTGAATGTTTTCACAAAAGTCAACCGGCATCTGGGAAAATTACTGCAAACTCTGGGAAACTCTCTCTTCGTTTCTCACAATTCGACTTTTGTCCTTACTTTGTCCTACTGACTGTTAATGGTGGATCATTATTATTATTATTGATAATTTTATTGTAATCATTCTCTTAGTTTCCGAGTGGAACATAGGGTTTTTATGGCACACCTCATCCTGTTTCATCCTGTTATCTGCGGTCGTATTAAGTCACCCTCAAAATGAAGCGCAACTGTGGATGAACTTTCCCTCAGAGTGTGGCTGATCTATCTTCATTTTCTTCTGCATATTTGTCAGGTAATAGGTTGTTAGTTGACTTCCGGCCTGTACGCGTTGCACATTGCTAATCCTCCTCAGCAGGTCATCTGATCTTCACGATGAAGCCAATGAAGGCAGGTGTTGACAAAAGTCTGAATCTTTTCCCAAATGGCAAGATTCTATAGTTGGTTGCCTGTTGAACGAATAAGAAATCGAGTTCAATCCCTCGCCACTGGAATCCAAAGCATCTGTAGTCCTGATGCGCGATAAGCAGAACTAGATCTTCTGAAAGAAGTCTCCATCCAAAACGGACACTCACCAATATCGATTGACAAGAATATCAGAACAATATCAAAGACGAACCATAATCTACGTGAACCTTAATTTCAAAAGAGACAACGTGAGATATCCTTCAGAGGGGAATGTCATCATTTCTGCCAACAGTCATCTGAGCAACGCGTGTAGAATCCTGAAAGAGGAAATCTCACATCTGAACACTTCCGTGTGTATATATGATTTTGGTTGTTGCTGTGGAGATAGGTAAATTGGTCATTTCACGCTTATCTCGTCTAAGGTGTAAACGTCGAAGAAGACTATCTCATAGCATTATTTCATGGAAACAGCAGTGACTCTGTAACGAGTGAGATAATAGAACACCTTGTCAACATTTGTCATTCCGTCTCAACAGACGTCTCCTTCACAGTCATCTACCTACAAAGGGAAAAATAACCTGCCAATGACAGTACTTTCTCGTCCCTATCTCACTGGCCATGCTTCAGCCCTTCAATTAGAGAAACCATGCCTATGCATAGAAAAGAAATTTATTCAACTACTTCCACTATCATAGTAACAACTATTTTGCTGTCCTCTACCAACTTGATAGTGGATATTTTCTTTCCCTGACTCCTTACAACACTTGTATTTCTTAAGGATTCTCACATGAGTTTCTTCGTTTCTATATGCCACTTGATTAAAAGTCACTCATGAAATTGTTCATGTTGTTACATTACTCTAATAAACAAATTCAACTCCTCTTATACACTGACTTACACTGGTTGACATCTATGATTATCTTAACCTATCACATATTTCTACTGATGCTGATTTGTGTCAACACACTACCTATATACATTCCATGACATTTCTTCAGTGTTTCCACTCTCTTAGGGTTCTGGATATTCCGAGTTCAACTGGTTAAC